TGGGGTTTGGAAAGAAAGAAACATTGCTGAAAATTTACTACCCAAGAAGCCTACAAAGACTTTTGATAAATCATCATTTCCAAAAGGGAATAAAATTCTCAGAAAACTTTGAAAAAACAGCCATAAGATCAATCTGTTCATATTCTAAATGGCTTTGTAAGACTCATGAAAGAAGATGAGGCCATAGCAGATGATTTTAAGCTCAATTTTTTGCTTTTATTCATCTTATCGGATTGGACTGTGTCAACTCAATGAGATTCGCCAATTTCTATGCATTGAGTTTAGCCTGCAGATTTACAAGCTTTGTGCTGCTACAGGGTAAATCGCTTGAAAATGACTCCTAAAAAGGCGTTCGTCTTTGGCTTCCTCTCTTCGTGGGTGGTCCCTCATGTTGACTGGACTTCCACTGGATAGAGTTATGAGCTTTTGGTGCTTATCTGCATAATCCTTCATCTAGTGCTCAGCATTCTCCGCATAGCGACATTAGTATATGCTTCGCTAGCCAAGGAAAAATTAACTGCGAGTTTTTGTCGATTGTGGGACATTTTTATTCTTTTCGCGATACGTCATACTCAGTAATCCTACGCATTTGATTGCATGCTATTTATTAATACAAAAAACGGATGAAAAGAAGTTTTGCACAAAGGAAAAAATGGAAATCTGAGAGGAATTTACGAAGTTGTTAGTTTTCTTCTACTCAAGCATATTTTTGCCTTGGCTAAGCTATTCACGAGTGCGCATCTCTCTGAGGATCCGCCATAGTCATCCTCTTCATCCACTTGCGCTCCAAAAGAACGGCACCATTTAAAGCACCGCCCACCCAGTGATGAGATTTTGTTGCTGTATAATAACGAAGCTTTTAATAAGGGATTGCCCAAGTCTCGCTACAAAAAATGAATTCCAAAGCGGCAACGCTTAGAAGGCGGCCGGTCTGGCGACAACAAATCTAAACTTGGTCTTCGGTGTATCCACAATTGTCATAAATCCATCCTTTCAAACCTACGACCCTTCTTTCTACCCCAAAGTCCAGTTTTGGAGTCGTTTGTTCGGACCACCCAAGTTGATGGGGGGAACCAGCGTGACCGCTTGCACTTTCTGGGGCGGTTTTCTCCCTCTGGAATTCATCTTTTGTAGCGAGGCTTGAGCGATTGCTTAGTTAGGGTTCCCGCTATCAAGTGACATTAAAATCTCATCATTCAATTTGGGTGGACAATGACTGCAAAGGACATGATCTGTCCATTGGCGTCGCGTAATTGAGAAATCAAACGGAGCGAAATTTTGGTTAGAGGACTATATGGCGCCGAAAGGCTGTGTGCACTGACATCTGCAACAATCTGCGCACCTCTGCTTCAAGCTAAGCTCAGGTGCGCGTTGCAGATGTCGTCGGACCTCCCTTTCGACGACGTATAGTCCTTTAGCGTAGATCTTGCTCTTACGAGACGCCAAATGACAAATTATGCCTTTTAGTGATGCCGCGATTTGTTTGAAGAGGAAGAAATGGACGAAGAGAATAAGTATGGCGCATGCTTGTCTCTTCGGATCGCCGTTCGGCTAAGTATCTTCTCTGAGCTGGCAATTCGCACAATTTTGCCGCCTCCTTCGAGACGAGCCACCTTTGCTGCCCCCACACAGACACACGGGCACCTACTTGCAAATTCGTCAATACCTCGAAGGCGCTCGCGAAATCAAACACACTTCATTGGAACTCGTCTTTAAGAAGTGTCTTAGACGCATATCCTGTTAGTGTTAGCCATTCACCCCGCGACAGAGCTTTCCCAGCTAAATTTTTCGCTTTTAAGTTCCGAACCTGGTAAAAACGTCCGCTTAAGCGCATTTTCTTTGGAAAGAATCGATTCGCCCCCTTAGATGAGGTGGTGCTCTTCTCCGTTGTGGATACGAAGTTTTCGTTGTAGAATCCCATGGTTTTCCCCAACACTTCTTGGAAAGATACGTACTTGTGAAACTTTGATGAGTTGGCTTGACATTTAATACTCATTTGAGATGGATTGAACTTATAAAAGCCATTTGTACTGTAGTATTTTCAAGAAAAATTTAATTTTGCTTTCGAAATAATCTTAATTTCGGCTTTCATTTCGTTTTCGCTATCTTATTTTTCTGCGATTTAAATGATTATAAATCTTGTTTTTTCTCTGAAAATCTGCTACCCTTGAGCTCATCGGAGGATCATCTTGGATTTGCCGTTTTTATGCTATTGATTCGTGGGTGTTGCCTCGGGGCTGAAGTCTCTAGTAAAGTATCATTTTCTTTCATTTTTTGCTACTCACGTCAGTACATAATGCAAATTTTTCTAATTCAGTCGCTGTTGTGGAGTTAAAATCTTTATATGTCTTTTACACGTTCCAAATATGGTGAAATTATTGGATGTCTGTGTGAACGTCGGCCTGAAATGAGACTGCTGATGAGTTCAGTTTTTGTTATAGTCTCTGCTCCGAGTAAGGAACGAGGCGAAATGAAGCCAATTTTGCTTCGACGTTCTTTGCAGGTGAAAATTGTCTTGCACACAGCTATATGAATTGCATGACCTGATTTTGCAATTTCTTGACAGCTGGAATTTTCTAAAAAACGATCTTCTTCGTAAGCAAGGTGACATTTTCGATTTTTGGTCGTTCAGACAAAAACTGGTCTCATTTTCTACGAAACGTTAGTGATTTAGCGTGGTTACTACATCTTAGAAAGACGAGTTCAAGTTCACGAGCACTGTTCCAATTGAAATTTGCTTTTCTTACCTATGGCATCATTTGTAGCTGTTTTCCTTGGTTTTTCCGAGTTATGTCTCAGAAATATATTTTAGTCCGCCTCTGACCTGAGTCTTCTTTCTCCCTAATTTTTTACCCTAATCTGAGAAGCTGCCTTTGAGAGTTCTCATGTCTCATTCTGTGTGACGTCAATGCTGATGTATATATACCGCCTTGTGCCAGCCTGATAAAAAACCAAAATCGTTATTTAGCAGCTTGCGTGCGCATATCTCTCCCTTTTTTGTTTGAAATTAGGTTTCTCGAGAGGTTGGCACGCCTCCAGGCGCAGAAGTAGAAGTATTTCGTACAGCTAGGTTGAAGTTTGTTTAGTATCGGTTTTCGTTAAGTTTGTTTAGAGAAGTTTAAGGCATAAATGGGTCCTAGGCTCCTTATATGGAAACTTTGTGAGAAAAAAGCTCTGATTATCTGGGCAGCAGCTCATATGGTTGAATTTTCGCTCTGAACTCTCGACCAGTACCGTACCATTTTCGAGCAGACCAACCGGCGTTTTTGGGTACGGTTTGGGCTGGTATTTAGGGCTTGACTTAGTCATGAATGAATGGTATAACCAGCTGATTTTCTTTGAATAACCAGTTATCTAATTTTTCATCGTAAAAATTCATTGATTTGATCTTGGATTTACTACTTTATCTTGTCCCATTGGAGCCTTATATCTCACTATATGAATCTTCATATTCAGTTTGAGTGCCTGTGTTCCTCGCGTTGTCGTTAATGATGAACAAAAGCTTATAAACTGCGATCGACTCTGCAGAGAGAAGCATTTCGATTCCGCATCAGCGATGTCGCGCGCACGAGCACGGCTCTCCTCAAGCGCATATATAATTCATAGTTTTTTCGCGCACTCGAAGCGATCAGCCAACTGCTCCTACCTCATAGTTGCCCTTATATGTTGTAGCAGATGAGTGAAGTGTCAAGACCTGTCAAGGGGGGGGGGAGATCCGTTAGGTTTGCTATTTTTACAATTTCTTACATTTCACAGGCAGCATCTGCAGATCTGCTATTCTCAGCTATTTCGTTGAAAATGGTAGTGAAGTCCTGACGCGGCATCTTATATTGATTTCTGGACAAGAAGTGTAGACTCTTGCCCAGTATTGTAGCCTACGTGAGCTGTCGCGTTCTCGAGTACGGTATGGGCGAGAATTCAGATTTCACTTCCGTTAACAAAATCGAGTCATACAAGCTGCCTCTTGTGCAGTTTAGCTTGGATATTGAATCTTCGTCACATAAAAAGGCTGCAATCAGACACAGTCAGATTTTTGTACATTGCCTTCAAAGTATCGAGTTTATCAGATCTCTCTAATTTTGAAAAAGATGGTCGGGGTGAAAAGTCATCCTGTTTTTGGATCTTGGAAATCTTCGTATTTCTGCTGCGATTGCTCCAGAAGAATTTGTATATAAGATCTATCTATTTTCTTTTTTCTCCCAAAGCTCTGTGACTCACCAGACTTCCTCTATTTGTCCTCTCTGTAGAATAATTTATAACAGTCCCCTTTCGGAACGCATGAAGACTTCCTGTCATTTGCAGACTCAATCCTTTCATCTTCCTTCTCTTGCGCCATTTTCATTAATTTTTCTTTTTATGCCGCTTTTTTATCTCATGTAATTATCTGCTCTCCAATATTCACTGCATCTTGTCGCTCGTTTCACCTAACGGGCACAATTAGCTGAGGTTCTATCACTTTTTCTGATTTTTATTTTGAGGAATTTTTGGCGTTTAGGATCTTTTTGATTGATTTGCGCGCTTATGTTCACTTTCTAAAGTTTTTTGCATTTGTCATTGTAAGTGTTCCGTTCAAGATTTTACTAGACTTTTCTTGATATTTATTTATCTATTGATTTATTCATTTTATGCACACGAGGTGCGTCATAAAATGCACATTTATGTGCTAAGTTCCTATACTGTTTACTTTTTCTTCCTTATGTTCTGCAAAGCTGTGTAGTTCCGCTTTTCTCTTTCGTTTTCGATTTCAGCTGTCTTTGCTCTCTACTCGCAATTAAGGCTAAATTGCTCATGTCGCTATATCTGTCCACCCTCTGTCTCGAGTGCGCTAAGCATTTGAAGTGGCCCTTTAATTGATCTATTTTCCATAGCTACCCTTCCGCTGTCTAGGGCCATTTCTATGCTTCATTCTGGCACTGTTGTGCGATCTGTCCGCATGCTTGAAAATTTTTATATAAATTTTTTCTGATCCTCTTACTGCTGGAAATTCCACCTTCATTCAGGAAATGAATCGGGTATCGGTCCCTGGTAGCCCACGATCGCATTACTCACCTCGATTATTGAATGGTCATGCTGAACCGATGCAAGAAAGGCATCAGAGGTGGGCTAATGGCTCAACTTTCAGTATTTCCAAGGAGTTGAGAAACATAATTTAGGTTCTCTGATCCTGATCCTTTGGATACGGTATCGCGTACAGCTCGTGTGCCACCTCCGAAGATCTATCCAACAGGTGTTGTACGAAGGACGGAAAGCTTTAATTCTGCTCCTGGGGTCCTTGCGGTGAGTTGTTGTACTTTCTCTCTAGCTCTTATCTCTGTTCGGTTTTTCTTGTTCGGTTATTTTTAATCTGCGTCACTTTTCTGCGTCACTTATGAAACCGGAGGAAGAGAGAATGCTGTCATTGATGGTTCTTTCTAAATAATTCGTCATTCTTGCAACTTGATAGAAACAGCAATATTCCAACCACGCGTTTAGCTTTACGCCCCCATGTGTACAGGTTGCGTGTCTTGATTTTTAATGTTGCATGGGTTTTCCCGAGATTTCGTTCATTTATAGAAATTGACGTGCATAAAATCAACAAATCTTGAAAATGAAACTATTTAAAGGCAGTTTACGGGCAAAGTCGATAAATTCCTGACTTCTGCATTGCATTGAAGTTCTCCACGACTCGTTTATCTTAGATTGGTATTTTTTCTGAATGAAAAGGACACCCTAAAAGGTGTGGAGAGCCCCCCCCCCCTTCTGGGTAACCCCGCCCACTCACAGATTGCGTTACATTTTTGTGGAAAGTGAGATTGAAGCTGTATTGAAAAAAGATCGCTCTTCGTGAAGCGCTTTTAAAAATGCTGAATTTTCAAAGTTTTTGGGTCCAATATGGCAATAGTGCGGCCCTTACCCAGGTGGCCGACCCTTACTTGTAATCGGTATCAAAATCTCAATTTTTTCGAGGATTTGAATGTCTTCTATTTGGATGGCGTGGTAGTCAAGGTTGTATGTCTAACTGCATTTCAAACAAAAAAGTTACCAACATTCGTCTTTAGAGTATCGTCATTTTTCATAACTTCCATAGCGTAATGCACAACCTTTCTTATAGCCACCAATGTACACGCTTCCACGATCGTGTACCACCGTGCCAGCTCCTCCAGACCCCATAACCCGGATACATGACCCGATGTCGTCACGACAACACGATCCTATGGCTCGAATAATAGATCCAGTGACAAGACGTACGGATCCACGATTGGTTAATCCGGCAACTATGTCACGACAAGAAGCTCTGTCACGATCTCTTTGCTCACCTGTGTTGCCACGACCGTTGCGAGCTGTTGATAGCAAGAGTAATTCGTTACCGAGACGGAGAGCAATTTCAGGTAATGCTGTCTCTTTTTTTTATTAGTCTCAAAGTTGACGATTCTCTTCCTCTTCCTGTACGCCCACACTAGCTTCAAATTGCATGACGATACTTCACGAAGTACATGTTGCGTTTTTCACTTTTCGATGCCTGCACGCTATCTCTGCAACGATGACACGATATGTGTTCATCTTGCAGAAGTGGAGAAGCCGCAAATCTAATGAAAAGGGTAGATCAAAAGTTTCTGAAAAAAAAAATTTTTTTTTGATCAGTTGCAGGTCCTCGAAATGTGAAATGGCGCACAGATGTGTTAGCACAGAATGCCATGGGTGATGACAGTGATGGTGCCACATCGGCTCCGGAATATGCTGGAAGTCCTGCTGGTTATAGTCGGAGTATGACGCAGCGTGAGTTAACATATTTAGCTAATGCTTCCTTTTTTTCTGTCTTATTTTCGGCTAAGCTTTCTTTTTGCTTTTCTTTTCCGGTAGAGTGTATCTCTTTTCTTTATTAATCCTCACGTCATCCCTTCGGCGTAGGCGTGTGTCTCTATAAGCTAAGCCTAAGTTGCGGAAACTTTTCCAAGCCAGTGGACACTAATGTGAATTCAAATGTAATGCATGCTGCACTGGTATATATCGATTTGCTTTACAACTTGAATTTTGGGACATGTTGGAAAAGAATTTTGTTTAAAAAAATGAGAGGGGAAAATATATTTTGGCTAAAAGTATGTTGGTTTTTTATGGCTTCTTATCGATCTGAGCTTTGAAGCTTTATTTAGAACTTTTTCGCACCTTTTTTCTTTAATTTGAAGTGAATGTATAGTACACTTTTTCTTTGGACCACGAAGACCAAAATTTTTTCTCGGAAACTTTGCATCTTCTCACTGAGAAAAGCCAAGCAAGCTACCAAGGCCTGCACTTTGCTAATTTCTCTAGAATTGTGCACGTTGTTCATTGGGCGATGTCAGCTCGTATTATCGCTTATTCACTGAACGGACCACTAATTCATTATCGATGCGGCCTCAGCGATTTCACGCGTAATTTCACGGCTCTTTGGATTGAAGGGGGACGCACACAGAGCAAATGATGGAAAAGCTTGCGCGGCTAGATAGAGCACTAAGAATGCATAAGTGCCGATTTGATATACGAATGCGGCATTTTGGAGAAAACTGGAGAGGGATCGAGCAAATGCTCTTGTCTGGAAGAAAAACTGATGGTAGTTTGAGACATTACAGTTCTTGCTTATCTACATCTGTTTTTCCCTCCAAAATCATACATTTATGATTTCTCGAATATTTGAACATAAAATAAAGATTCCTAAAAAATCTGTATCTTTTAGATCTGCGATTATCCAATGGTGGCCCTGGCAGAACGATCAACGACATCTTCTCTGCAGCCGAATATCGTAATTGGGCTGGTCCCACAGATCCCTCGATGATGGGCCGACAATCGCGGTGAGTAAAAACAATCATTCAGCGTCCCTTACTCCCTACTGCACTATTTTTTCAATATCATGCTCCTTTGGATGTGAGGAAGGTTTAAATTTTGAAAAATTATTATAATCTCTTCACAAATTCACTTGTCTTATTTTTTTCCTACGATTCTGGTGCATTTGTATCTGCTCGCTGGTAATCCACGTCTATATCTCTGGGAAGGAATTTCCCCGACATATCAAGGCAATGAAGATTTGCAAAGATTTTGCGAACTGTCCTCTCCCCCCCCCCCCTTCCCTGCTCTTTCTTTTACTTCATCATCTCAAGCGCTGGTGTATCTAGTTTCATCGGGTGAAATTTGATTCTTATCCAACCTCCTAGATGGTCTCACACCTATGGCGAAAACCGAGGCCAACGATCGACATCATTACCTGGTCGAAGCATCATGGCACAGGTAAGAGCCTTGATTACCTGCCTAAAAAACCAGATCTTTTGTTTTAGTCTCTTGTCGGCTCACCAGTGTTACCAAGACACGCTGCAGCCCAGGATCGTCCTTCAGCAGTATTGGATCGATACCATGTATCGCCACTGATGAATAGGTAAATTGTTTTCGCTTTTTCAAAGAACATTTTTCTTTTTTGGAATTTTTGGCTGTTGATTCCTTTTGATCTAGTTTTCTTCTTTTTTTGTGTTTTTTTTTACATATGCCACTTTTAGGCGAGCACCCTTACGGCCAGCTGGTCCAGGTATCAACGTGGATAGGTTGAACGTCAATAGTCTCACGGGTATTCTTTTTGTGCAGGTAGGCTGTTTATAGTTCGTCTATCTATTAAAGATTTACTTTTAAATGCAAATCTCATTTTTTTTCTCAAAAATTCAAACAGTTTTTCGATCCATTATCAACTTTCATGGTTTCTCATGCATAGGAGTGCCAATGATCTAGAAAATTCTATTCTTTTTTACTTATGCTACTTATGGCTTTCCATTCCGAACTTTATTCATTGCAGGTTTTGGAAGGTCGCGGGTTAAAAATTCCAGAAAAACAAAAAGCTGTTACTGAAGAAATGTACTGTGTATTGGAAGTCGATGAACAACATCGGTGAGCATTTTTACCCCTAGCTTTTTTCGTTTTTTTTTCTGACGAATAAAACCCTATTTGAATTATAAAAGCAACTTTCTTGTAGAGCACGAACCGGTGTGTCAACGGCAGAGCAACGGTTTCGATGGCGAGAAACGTTTCATATCGATGTGTTCAACGCTACAGTTACTCATTTCTTCGTCTACTCATGGCATCCGCAATTTAGGTACGTGGTTCAAAGCTTAGACATGTTATAATTTTTGTCGAATTTACTTTGTTAACCGAGATCATTTTTAGGCATAAATTATGTCATAAGGGGTCGCTGAAACTGTTGGAAGCATTCATTGTCGATCAACTGAATGGAGATAGAATGTTTGCGCTGAATCTGGAGCCCCGAGGGCAGTTGATTGTGCGGATAGGATTTCACGATATGAGAACAGTGTTTCGACGAACTGTCAATCCTAGGATGGATGGGTACATTTTTTGGAAATTTGTGACTTTTTAGAATTACTTATCTTTTTTGAGGACTAAGTATATTTCCCATTGTACTTTAGGGTTTTTGGTGTACCTCTTGGCCGATTGTTGTCTCGAGAAAGGCGGGAAACCCCAATCGCACTCACTCGACTTATACAAGAAATCGAGAGACGTGGAGTCGATTGTAATGGATTGTATATCTGTAAGTTTTTTAGCGCTTCATTACTGAATTATCGGGTTGAAAAGAATTCCCTTAACTACATTTTGCAGTGTTCAAATAGAGCCGATCCACAATTATTTTTCAAAAATTTTTTCCATCTTTTTCATTCCTTTTTAAAACTTACATAATGTTGCACTTGAACCTTTTTACTTGTAAAAATCATTCTCAAGAGAAAAAAGAATAGCAATGAGGTGTTTCTATGTGTGAGATTAGGGTAGCCTTACGGTATATGTGCCCATGGTCGCATTTCTAAAAAAAATAGCAATTCTATTTTAGTATGCGGCTCGGTAGAGAAAAAGAGGGTGCTACGTGATGAGCTTGAGGCAAATCCATTAGGATGTGAACTTTCCATCGACAGTGTTCCTGACACGAATGTGCTTGCTTGTCTCATTAAGGTAAGCGCAATTCATCGTTAGCAAGATTTTTTACGAGATGTTTGAAGGATTTCCTGCGAGAATTACCCGAACCTTTGATACCTCCACAAATCCATGGGATGTTAATTGACGCCGCTTCCGTAGCCTTACCGAACGATATGCAAGGAAACCGACAGCTGGTTTTGAGGATCGTCGATTGCCTAGCGCCACCCAGCAAGGTAAGGAGTTCATAGCTGGCTCTCAGTCCTTCATTTACTGACTTCTAGAACACGTTACTCCTCATTATGGATCATCTCACTACCGTACTCGCATCTTCACCTCATAATGGCCTCACACCATCGCGATTAACTACTGTAAGACTCATTACCTATGATTGATGGGGTCGCAAAGTTTTTTATGCAGGTATTTGCTCCTTTGCTGCTCTGTTGCGCTGAGTCACCACCAGTGAAAGAACTACGTCCGTTGGATGTTCCACAAGCTGCCTCAACGCTCGCTCTTCTACTCCAAATATGGCCATCTAGAGTCAGTGAGTTTCTCATAAGTTCTAATGTGTGCCGCATTAGATCTAATGGGTCAAGTGCTTTGTCCTTTTCTCTCAGCCAATTTTGACTTTACTATTCTTTTATAAATGCGTTTCTGATTTTTCGAAGTGGTAAACTTCGAACTTTCATAATTGCTGTAGACAGAAGCTGCTACATCAAGTGCAGAAAAAACTGGGCTAGAATCCCCTTTCGCATCAGCTGCGTGGGCTCGCATAACTAAGTAGGGCCATTAGCAGGCAAGATGCACGGGAACGAAACCTTATAGAGAACGTGACAGAATGGGCAACATGAGTAGAAAAGTCTTTGTGAACTTCCACAGTATGCTACCGTAATCTCATGCGGCCGATTTGATTTAGACCACTGTATTGGCGGGCGGTTCCATGCACCCTCCACCTAAATGTGAGGTTCATATTTTGTTGCATCACAATAGACCTTCCTGCCTAAGCAACTGTTTAAATCCCTCTGTAAAAGGTGTGTTCCATAGCTAAAAAATCGCCTTAGAAGGTGGGTGCTGCTGGGGTCGCCCCGCCCATCAAGGTGGGTAGTTCAAAAGAAATGAACCCGAGGTTATAGTCCACAATAACTAAATGTCGAGAATGTGGTCTTACAATGAAAGACAAGTCCCGACTTTTCTGGACCTTTGAGTCCAATCTCGAGCCCATACCTTTAAGACCGCATGTTCATGGGCGGGGCGGCCCCAACAGGATCCACCTAGAGCGATTTTCTCGTTTCGGATTACATCTTTTGAGCGGGACTTAGACTTAATTAGTTAGTGGCGATGATGTTGTATTGTATCAAAGTCTCACCCGTCTCGAATTGGGGTAGACGGCGCTTTTCATAGATACTTTGAATTCTTTCTGAAAGTTGCGCTAGGTTATTGAAGTTTGCGTAAAGTTGGGTAGCTTACGGTATATGTGCTAAATAACTTTCGACTCAAAGTAGATTTCAGACTGCGTATTTTGCTAGTAATCTTTTGAGGATAGCTTTGTTGTAACATAGATTCTTTTGAGGCATTCGTAGTATAGACTGCATATTAGTACGTGCACATTGTCAGTAGATGCGTGATTAGAAACATAGAATGGAACAATAAAGACTATAATTAAAAAATTTTCCTGTATGTGTGCTGTTCCAGGCGGAAGCGAAAGCAGTTCCGAATCTCCAAGCGTCATCGCGGGCACCGCGAATGCGGTATCGGAATCTCAGTGTTGAGTGAGCGCAAGCCTTCTCTATACACAAATTGCAGATTCGTCTTATGCCCAAACCTACCAATGATATTCTGCCGTTCATTGTATGTATAAGCTCACCATGACCTCAGTCAAGCTTGTCACATCTTTTTCCATTCTAGTCCCGAAGGCAGTGCGCAGGCTCATCCGGCCCAGGAGTTTTTATGTGGAGAATGATTGGGAGGCCTTAACTAAGTCATTATACAGACAGCAGCTCATATGGTTCATTCGCGGCAGAGATATAAGACTTCAAAGTTTCGCCCAAACCGTCATCAACGTACGGTGTGGGCAAGACTTTAGAATTGAATTTCTCGGCTGCGAATAAATCGTATGAGCTGCCGCTTGGGCTATGGCTTAGCTAGGGTCTCCCAATCATTTCCATGTAATAGATCCAAGCTTGAAGATTTGCCTGTGTGGTGTCTTCAGAAAGCAAATTTTGATCGAAGATAGTCCCATTCCCCACCGGTGTAAAAACTAGTCAATGATTGTTCTCATAAACCCCTCATCTACGCGGTATCTCTCTTTTTTTGTTCAGTGTTTACTTCTTTATCCTTTTCTATTTTTTTGCTGTATACTAGTCTTTCAAGCAGTGAAACTCGCCTATGTGAGCAATATTCATACTTACGCTGTATCTCTCCTCAAGGATGGGTAGTTTGTGTTCACCTTGAGCTATCCTATCTCTTCTCTATGTTCTTAAAACATCGCAATGTCAATGATCTCCACGGTCTCCAGCTGATATATGAAAATGCTCATTTTTTGATTATTCCCATACCTTGTTTCATCTTTATTTGTATTGTCGTTTTTTCACAGTCATCTCCAGATTTATGCTCATCTTAGGGAACGAGGACGGGTTAGTTGCACGTTTAATTAGCAGTATAAATTAGCATTTACTTATGACGTCAACTTACCTGAAAGCTTTGCCATGTATCCCTCGTTCCCAGTATAGTCATTAGATGCTAATGACTAAATCTATATTCTCACTTCTCAGAGTAGGATATGTGAAACGATTTTTTCTTTGTTACGCGTTGTTAATATGCATAAATTGAAATAAATTATTCAATTATAGATTGTCTGTGCTGCTCGAAATCGTCTTCATCGTCAACGATAGTTTTGTACAAAAAAAAAATTGTCAGAAAAATCTACTAAAGCGACCTGAAAAGGAAGCGGACTGGTTCTTTATCAGTCTTCCGTTTAACCATTTACTAGGGTTTGAAATTTTTACAATTTGTAATGAGGTCAAAGTTTCGTGAATACATTCTCGCAAAAAAATGCAGATCACTTGTAGGAGAAATGCAAAATAAATTAAATAAAATGCTCACTTGTACATTCTCCTCGAGCATTTTCCCAGATGCCTAATGTTGATAAGTACGTTAAATTGAGGACGAACTGGATTATTCCTGCATTAGTTTTTCGCAACGATCGAAATACAAAGTTATGGAGGTGAAATATCCTCATGTGAGGCGCTGAGGATTGACTTACAAATTCTAATAATGAACGGAAATTCCCTCAGTACTTCATATCCCATATTTTCAGATCAAAACTCGAAAACTAAAAAACAACATTGCTAACTGAAAAAATATTGCTTGTGTTTCTACCGTATAACCTGAAAGGTATTCGCGATACCCCACGTGAGAAGCCACCGAATTACTGATAGAATGAAGTGATCACACTCAGACAATGGATCGGACCCCTCCGCTGGGGAAATGGCAGGGTCGCGGCGTTTCCCCAGCGGTGGGTCACCCATTCGTCCGGCGGAGCCCTCCCATTTCTCCGGCGGAGACCTCCCATTTCTGCTCCGGATACCTCCCATTTTCTGCTCCGGATACCCCCCATTTTCTGCTCCGGATACCTCCCATTTTCTGCTCCGGAGCCCCCCGATTTTGTGCGCCGGAGCCCCCCGATCGCGGCATACTGTAATTAGCCCTAATTAAAGGCAGCTTCCAGGCAGATCTGGACCTATGGGGCTTTTACATGGAAAGTACTTTTGGGGCCCTAACTAAGGCACTGCCGAAGCAGCAGCTCAGGTAGTGCTCCAATGGCTGAGATATTCCCCTCGAAACAGACCCCCCGCGAACGTATTCGCATGGATTCATGGCAGTTTCGCGCCAGGATCCACGCTTTGCGCCATGAATCCATGCGAAACACGGTCGCGGGGTCCGGTTTCGAGCAGAATATCTCAGGTGTTAGAGCATTACTTGAGCTGCCGGTTGGGTAGTGGCTTAGTTAGGGCCCCAAAATACTTTCCATGTAAAATCCCCATAGGTCCAGACTTGCCTGGACGCTGCCTTTAAGCTCCAAACCCCAATTTTGTCTCTAAACCCCACCCAAATAAGCCGAATAGGACCCCCCCCCGGGTAGGAGTTTAGCGCGACCCTCACCCCGTACTCTACCCCCTCCCTCTCACCCCTAGCGTTTGTGGATAGAAGATAGAAGAAAGAACGAAGAGATAAGACATTTATTTCAAATTTTTCAAACTTTCGAAAAATCTATCTATCTATCTCCAGCATACGTACAACAGTTAATTCATATTACAAAAACCATACTAGGAGTTAGAGATAAGAATATTGAAAGAAAAACTAATTTCCTTGTTGCAAAAAGAACCTTGTAACACCACAGTATAAGCATATGGTTTTAACATGGTAAAAAAATGACAAAAAGATCAAAAAAGCATTCTGTGCAACATGAAACAAAACAGACAAACTGTGCGGTTCCTAGCCAGTACGACAGTACTCCAGTTAGAAAGGAGCATGTCAACTCCTTTGGGAATCTGAAGATGGCGCGTTTTGAATTCCAGCTCACCTTACATTAGATGACCGCTTACTTCATCCAGTCATACTCCTTTTCAAGCAGCAAGCGTCTAGTTAGTCGGAGCATCCATACAAAAGAACAAGCACATGCGGCATAATAGTATAAAGAGCTCCATGGAGTCCAGAACATTCTGTATGCATGTGGAAAATCGAGGACACCAAGAAAAGACGAAAAAAGACCTGTCTTCAATCGTTGGATCAGTATCGTGCCACGTCCACCACAGCAATTTCGTACCTAACATACGGAATGGTAATTGAAGCATCACAGAACTCAGGCCAACTGCAGGCCCTTCACCCCACCAAGGTAGGCGCATTCTGAAATGGCAATAAATATAAATTTACGCTCACAATCACCAAAGTGGACAAGGGGAACTTACAAGTGATTTCTATCCAAGACTGAAATTACTGTTACTGTTATAAGGCCTGAGCTGACTTGACCTGTATTGGTGAAAAAAGTTGAAGAAGGATTAACCAGCGATCAATTTTTAATGAAGCAACAAGTCGGGGGGGGGGGGGGGGGAACGGGGTAGGCGCCCCCCTTCACAAGCTGTTCGAAAAACAGGACCGTGCAGAAACTCTTAACCGTTATCCGTTAAAATTTACGTCTACAATTTTGATCGGAAGATTTTCCCGCTAGTAAAAAATGTATGAAAATTCTGTGGACTAATAAATGTGTACAGGGCTTTACAACCTGAGTGTCCCACCCGCCCCGCTAGGACGCCACGCTTAGGTCCGCGCAGCGTTCGTGGCGCTGGCTGCGCGTCGACTGAAGCTTGGCGAAATCCGGGGGATACGCAGCAAACGCCGCGCGCGGCCTGAGCGAGGCGGCCGCGTTGGAGGAGCCGCGCAAGCGAAACTTGCGACTCTCAGGTTGAAAAGCCCTGTACATGAGATACCTGCTAACAAGGACATAGGATGTGTAGAGAAACATTTGATGAAATCCAAAAAGGGCATAGAGAGGAACTCTCATTCCAAAAAAGCTCAACATACCCTAAACAGGATAATTATGAAGTCGAGTGTTGCTGAGAAGAAAGATAAATACCTGTGCATGCCAATAAAGATTCAATTCTGGTACAGAGATACTAGTGTTTCGATGACAAACGCATGTACAGTTACGGCAATCCATTGTATAGATACCGACCGCCATGACGATAGGCTTATTTGATATCGAATAGTGATTTGAATAAGATACAAAAGGAAGTCTAAAACATACCATGAGCAAATGTGAGCATACATAAAAATCCAAAGACGAGCTCAGCAGCGAAAAAGTACGGGTTATTCTGGATCAATTCTACGGGACTTTTGTATTTGCAAAACCAATCCGCCCACTGAAAAGCAGCATGTGATATAATTGTGACTGAACGCCTGGAAGACATGAAGCTGATACCGAATTAAACTGCTTGAAATTGAGCAACTTTCTCATGGAGATAAAGTAAAAGAAAAGAGCTTTCCAAAAACTCACTAAAGACCTCACCGTAACACGGTACAAAACCTCACCTGGACCATGGTGACAGCTTTCTGACCTATACCTTTCCTAGTTTCAGGCGAGACTGTGAAAGGCAAGTTATCGAACAAATACCGATCCAACAAGTAGTCCATGCTAAAAACTTGCTTTATTCAAAGAAACTTGAACCAGAAACGATTGTGAATAATGAAGTGAACGATCGATGAAGATAGATGAAGTTTGCAAGAAGCAGCTCTAAAATAACCATAAGGACGACGGACTGCCGATGATATGGGATAAGCCAGAACTGCAAGCGTAGCCCTTACCAACTGAAGTAGGCACAAAGGATATGAAAGAAGAAAACGCCTTCAAGCGGTTATATTAGCTAGAAGACGTCTACAAAGAGGAGTGATTAGTCAGAACTCTTTTGAAAAACGTGCTTTATGTTCCTTCCTAGATTTGATTGCGGAAAGTGCTTGGAAAAGCAATTTTTCAAAGCTTGCTGTTAAGAATGTGAATGAAAGGAAGGAAGAAAAAACCAAATAATGGTTTGATTACGCCAACTTCGCGCCGCGGAAAATTAATTTGCATTCGGCGACAAGTTCAAACCCGCATTCATAGTGAATTCGCGATATGAGCGATTACAACTTATGCCTACAAAGCAAGTTATTGTACAGCAGCTTGATTAACGCAGTTGGCATCAGTTGCAAATGGTGGATATATCTACGGTAAAGGAATGAAATGATTATCGTTTCGTGTGAGACAACCTCGAAAAGCTTTGGACACGTGTAATTAACAAGTTGAAACATGTGCTCTAATTTATCTTGGATGTAACAATCTTGGAAATCAGAGAGCAAACATGTTTGAGCCTGTGTAACGTGTGCAAAGCGTTTTCGAGTATCGCAGTTCAAAAACAAAAAACTACCTATCCTACCAAAGATGCATCCTTTATATCTTTTTCTACCTAAAGGTATATTCTTTGCATAAAACGCTCGTTAGCCAGGCTGGTAAGCACTGTGTGACACGGAACAACAACAAGGATTATTTAGACGATACTTTCATCACAACAACACTAGATAGTTGCGCAACTAACCTCATTGTTTCGAAAATCCAGAATTAATCACAAAAACCACTCCATCAATAGTCTACGATGTCTCAGCAAGTCGGAAAGAGCCAAACACTGAAGGTGATTGAGTGCAACCGCACGAAAATTTCAAACATAAACCTGAAAACGAGGAACTTACAGCAACATAAACGCCAACGCGACGAAGAGCAACGCGGAAAAGGAAAAAACAGTAAAGAAACGCGCAAAAACAACAGAATCAAAGAAACGGCGACTAAAATATGGACAAAGAGCGTAAACAGAGAACTCATCACCGTGGAGTTATACGTTTGCTTGCTACGCGCCAAATCGATACGCAGCCTGCTCCGGATACCTCCCATTTCTCCGGCGGATACCTCCCATTTTCTGCTCCGGAGACCTCCCATCTTCTGCTCCGGATACCCCCCATTTTCTGCTCCGGATACCTCCCATTTCTGCTCCGGAGGCCTCCCATTTCTGCTCCGGACCCCTCCCATTTTCTCCGGCGCGACTCCGCCAGATTTGCCAGGCTCGCGCCGGACAAATTTGTCCGGCGCGAGCCTGGCAAATCTGCCAGGGTCGCGCCGGAGAAATGGCGGACCTTTGCAGCAGGGCCGGAGAAGCCTCCCATTTGCCTGGCAGTGATGTCACGCGAGGGACCGCCCATTTGCCCCGCTCTCATTGGTCAATTGGGTCCGGCGCGAGTCTGGCAGTTTCGGCTTGCCCAGCGGAGGGGTCCGATCCATTGTCTGAGCAGCTAGACAGATACCGTTACATGTGGCTAGCAACCGACGGTATAACAGAATTCCGACTATCCTAAGAAAACGCGAACATAAAGACGCTAGGATACTGTAAAAGTTTTTTGGAAATCTTCCCGTGATTCCCCATATTTTGTCTCTCAATCGAATGCTTGCAATGTTTATTCAAGAGGCGAATAACTTAGGATCACTATCACAGCATCCCTGGGCATCATGTTAAGTATCACCGGATCTCAGGTAGGGTGTGAAGGTAGTGATGATAAGACAGTCTCTGCGTAAAACAAGATAAAACAAACTGAAATGATACTGCAAATTGTCAAAAATTGAGGTAATCACAAGTACGAATGGCATTCAAATTTTAACGAGACGAGTCCTTGATTCCAGAAACTATCACCGCAAGACATGATTTGTCGCAGATGTCAGCTGATGAAGTCTACTGGAAAGCCTGCAAACCCGTAATGGCTCTGCCAAGAATTAGCGCATGGATGTCGTGAGTGCCTGAAAAACAAGCGACAAATGCATAGAACGCAAAGTTCACACACATGAAAAGGTGTTTTGAGCGGGAAGGGGAACAAATTCCGCCATAGGGACGCGCCATACCTGATCCACTTGATCCTTTGATCCCCTTCGCTATTGGTCAGATCAGTAAACTGACCAATGGCGAAGCGGTTATTTACTTGATCCAACTGATTCACTGATTTGACCAGTAGCGAAGTGGATGAAGTGGATCAAGCGGATCAAAAGGATCATGTGTGGCGCGCCTAAGGCGCAGGCTCGACCAGTCCTCACATATATGTAATGGCATGAGCGAAAAACCAATGTTGGCGATGGCGGCGCCTACTGGCAGAATTTCCTCTGCCCCAACGCTACAGCTGCCCTCGCAACGCGTTCGCGCCCGCTTGAATAATCTGATCCGGTTTCGTCCGAGGTAGACTTAGGATCATACGGTAAGATGACTAACGCGTGGATAAGCGCTGTTTTCTTATTATTGGGTCACAAGAACAAAATTTTAGCAACAACTATGGTGCAGTTTCGGTGTACATAACGTGTAACAATTTCATTTGCGTTAGAAACTCTTAATCATTGATATGAAAAATGCGCCAATTGTCTCAATTCATTCAAAATTTGACCCAAAGTGAAATGAAGAAAAGTACCCACTCACCTTCGTAAGTATTTACCGTTTCCAGATTGATCATATGACGCATTATGTGATATTCATCGACAATACCATTTCCACCTAGGATATCTCGAGCCTTCCGCGCTATATCCAACGCTTTACCACATGAATTTCTCTTGATCATCGAGATCTGCTCGGGTCTGACCAGGCCCTCATCCTAGAAAAGAAACTAGGTGAAAAAGACTTCCCTTACCCGAAATAAAGACCTACCTTCAACCTGGCAACCCTCAAGCATGCCTGCAAACCAAGGGTGATTTCCGTGAGCATATCGGCAAATTTGAGCTGTATAAGTTGCATTTGTGCAAGGGGCTTGTCGAACTGTTTCCTGAAGAAATATGAAGGATTTCTATGATTGAATTCACAAAAAGATGACTCTACCGCTCCATTGCGTATTCGCGTGATCGATGGAAACAATCTTCTGCGGCACCCAACGTACCAAAAGCTATACCCATGCGAGCATTGTTTAAACAACCAAATGGACCAGCAAGACCTTTCACCTAAAAAACCCTAGTATCCTCTGGTTGAAATTAAGAATTCCCTTTCAGTGACAAAAGCCTTACTCCTTTCAGTAACGCGGAATAATTTACCGAATCTTGAAAGTTGGCTTACCTTGGGGAGCAGGTTAGCTTCTGGTACCGGTACCTCATCCATAGCAATCTGACCGGTGATCGATGTTCGTAGTGACAATTTACCCTCGATCTTCGGGCAAGTAAGTCCGTCCATGCCTTTTTCGAGAATGAAACCCTATAAGGCAATCTTGATTTCTGATAAAGAGCAGAGGTTTCTTACCTTGATGTCATTATTGTGCCTATCGCTTCGCGCCCATACTATCAACACATCAGCTACGGGGCTGTTGCTAATCCAAGTTTTTGAGCCAGAAAGTCGATAAGTCTTCGTTTTCTCGTCCCATCTAAAATGGGCTGCAAGTATCACAGTCTAGGTAGGGCGAATATGCAAAACGGCGCTCTCCAAAGACTGTTTGTTTAGATAAGAACGCAGCAAACATGCGGCGCATGCGCAAGCAGCCACAATCGCGGTCCTTGTACAAAAAGTCAAGAGAATTATAGCGTAAAAAACAAGCGGACAAAAATACTGTAAAAAATAACCATACAAGATGCAACGAACATACTCACTTTGCTTTTGTTTCCATTCCATTCGGGTTTGAACCATGATTAGGCTCAGTCAGCCCAAAGCAACCGACTAATTCACCGCTGGCCAATCCAGGAATATACTTTTCTTTCTGTTCGTCAGTACCTGCAGATAACTTTGAGAAAAAGCGCTTGTGATTTTACAATTTCTTTTAATTTTACCATAATTATAAATAGGTCCAATAACTAGACTGGTTTGCACACTCATCGTTGATCTATACCCAGAATCAACTCTTTCAACTTCACGAGCAATGAGCCCATAACCAACACTTGTCGTACCAGCACATCCATAACCCTAAGACTGAATATGGTAAATTAACCCGGAGAAAGATAGTCATCCTAAATATACCTGGTAAGGAGCACCCAGCAGCCCCATTTTACCCATTTCAGGTATCAAGGTAGGATCGTACTCTGCAAAATGATTCGACGTGAACAAAGCACAAATAATCTATGTGAGAAAACGTACTTTCTTTCCTATAGGCTTCAGTTACACGGGGTAGTAATTTTTCCTGGCAATATTCATGTGCTGACTGCATAAGAATTCTTTCCTCCTAAAATTTCAATTTACAAAAACCAGAAAAACCATACCATTTATAATCTTAAAAAAGAAGTTATATTCATAATCAATGCTTTTTGTCAGATTAATCTATCAGCAAAAAAATCAAAATTGAGAATCTGGTGTCCTCACGTACCTCCGTAAGCTGTGATGAGATGTCGAACGCATCGCGAAAGTTGAAAGAAGAACCTATAACAATATAAACTTTGATGGTCTTCTTATCAAATACTTCTTTTCAGAAAATTCTTCATTTTTGTCTAATGATTTCACGCTTATGTTGAAGGGACAATAAGCCCTTGGGCAACCCCCTTTACATTACCTTGCCCTAGTTGGTAGGTGAATTATTTTCTGAGAATTTTTTATGGGAGATATGTCAAAAATGTGCAAATTGATAGCAAAAAAGTTAACGAGATTTTGAGTTCGAAAAATTGTTCGGAAAAAATGGAAAAAAGCAAAGTTGCGTAGAAAATGCACAGACTTCTGATAAAGCAACGAACTGCATTTGCAAAGCACAAAAGAATAAGAGAATATATGAATTTTACATGTTTTAAATCAAAAGTAGACCCACAAACCCAATCGTGTAGCTGACACCGCAGATGGACCGACTTTCAGTATCCCATGAATGGTCCGCGAAAGCATCTCAATGTAAAATGACATTACCGGCAATAAAAAATAGAAACAGCCGACAACGAACACTACGAATCAATCATGAGCCATCATAAAGAAGTTATTATGTGAAAGAATAATTTGAAAGAAAGTCGAAAAAATTTAGTTTGCTGACAAACCCCATCCCCGCTGTATAGTGCATGCACTATGCTGTCATGATACCTATCGAATCGCATGACCACCGTTTTCTGATACGCGAAAATGAAGAAAAAAACTGGTGATGTTTACCAAGCGCAGCAGCTGTTCCATGCCAGTCTGTCCAAAATACAAACGACCTTTGGGCAGCCAGTAATCGAAAGCAGAAGACTTGTTGGTAAACTCACACTAGAAATTGAGTACAATAGGATATCGACGAAAATGAAAAACTGAGATTTGAATGACAAATCGAATGTATTTTTGGGCTAATGCAATAAAGCTCCCGGATAAATAGAAAACTGCACTTTGCTTGTGCCATTTCACCCCGTATTCTGCGTTCACAAATACAATTTTGTGAACAAATTTCACTCGGATTTGACCAAAAGAACGAGCACAGTCTGTTAGATCAATTTGCTTCGGATAAAAACGACATTTCTAGCATTTTGAACACATCATTTAAGACTGCAATGCTCAAACAACAGAAATGCACATTTTGGTACAATTGCACACTAAGTGACAAAATTCTGACACCTACCATACGGGGTATCATAAAAACCCGAACAGTTTACATATCGTAACAAATCCCAATTTCTTCCATAGCTGCGTGAATGGTATTCGCTAAGCAGTTTCAAAACATGGACTGGAGCGAGTGTAAACTTGCTAGGATAAAACTCAAGATCGCTACCGTTTCTCCAAACATTTCTCCAGATAACGCCCAGAAACCACTACAATCGATTAACATTGCTAAGCGTTCTTAAATAGTACTTTTGAAACGAGCGAAATAGATGCCAACGTTCGAGAATGCAGTTTCAATCTATCGAACAGACCACGCTTACCTGCGTCCCAAACGTGCCATGTCTTATCTCCGAAAGTAATCAAATGCAAACTCTGTTTGAAAAAACGCAACAGGCATGAAGTGTCACCGCATATACTGAATACTATGTTACTAACTAAATTTCACAAAAACCACAAAGAAGATCTTTTAATCTTTATCACTTCTTGACTTTCGTTCTCGACAATGACTAGCCAGGAGAACTGGGGGAAACGTGCATTTTCGAGAAGCAAAACGTTAGAACGACATCTTCTAATACGTTAGTTAAGGAAAATACTACATAACAAGCTCTAGATAGGAAAACGTAGGCGATAATGGTACAGTCAAAGAACGGGGTGGCAAAACGAATAATATACGAGCACATCACAAGAACCTATGCTGTATTTGGTATACCCGCAATAGTGAAGCGCGCCGATTACTTAAACGTAGTTCCGTGAACACCTAGACAGATAATCAGTATTGAAAGATACAAAAAAATCTCGGAATACATGCGGGAATACAATTAAATCGTATATAAGTATGAACAACGGGGCAAAGAAAATGCATTTCAAACTAAAATCTTCGAACAGAAAGTCATACAGAAGTTCGTAGAAACAGATGTAAAGGGAAAATGAATGTCTCAAACACCAGGAATGGACGACCTGTTGAATTTAGGCGTGAGACAACGGTGGAAGAATTCTCATCAACTGTTCGCGTTGCATTGGGTCGGTGATCGGTTTTGACGGAAATTCTACTTCGAACTGAACGATCAAGTCACCGTAATGACCAGGAGCTTTCGGATTCGGCAGGCCTTTACCGGTGATTCTGAAAAAAAAAAACTTATTTTCAAATCAAAGAAAGTGCCTCTCAAGCTAAATGAAACACAAACCTTCTCACTGTATTTGGCTTGATGCTGTCAAGCCTTAACGTAGTTGATGGACCGGTGAGAGTGGGCACTTCAACAGTACATCCACAAAGTGCATCACGTAGTGATATACGATGAATATATCGGATATCACAGGCCTCTCGCTTGAAGATTTTGTGTGGTTTGTCCTGAACAAGAAATTTAGAAAGTAAGGCAGTGTCCATGGAACCCAAGTTTTTCCGAGAAAATCAAGACTAGTCATACATTGAACTGATTGTTCGCGACATACGCTTACTACTAAAACACTGCAGTCCGTGATGGAGAGTATTTGCACAAGAATCACAAGGATGCAAAAAGCGCAAACAATCGTACTAGAATCCTCCATCTTGATGCAATAATGTTTTTCTAAGCAATGCCGATACCTGATAACCAATTGCTCAAGCCCGCACACTTTACGAACGTTCACTACTACACCTTCAAAACAGTGAATAGCCAGTGAAAGGAATAAAACTTTGCCCAAAAGGGCTGATCCCGCAAATCTTCGAGATAAATAAGTATAGATAAGTATTTTTTACGCCTTCAAGGTCTCCGATTGTTTTCCTTCTCTACATTTCACACTCATACTGATCTCACCTACTAGTTTTGTGATACCATCAGGTAGAGAAAACCTTGCATCGAAATTTTCAAAGGTCCATGAACTTCCGCAGGAAAAACATCCTTGGTTGGTGGTATCAAAAAAATCTTTCCCATTATCGCAGCTATTGAAGGTGATAAAGAAAACTATCTGCTTTCGCATTTCTGTTGCTTTCGGGCTATTGGAAATCTCTACAAAAAGTTGCAAATATCCCCACATTTTTTCTATATATGTAGCTACATCAGTATAAAACATGAAAAAATACACAAAGTAATTCTCTAAGGGCCGCATGCACTAACATCCCCGCGGGGAGGGGATGTTAGTGCATGCGGCCCTAAGCATTTTCGGTCGAATATCATGAAGATTTCTTGCAGGACTTTATCCACCTAACCGTTGGTGACAATTTCTGGCTAGCATCATGCATTTGAAGTGGTCCAAAACACCCAACTCTGATGAACTCTTCCTCAAAACCATCTAACAAGCCCCAATGACCAAAGTTCTGTCAAGTGAACAATTGACAATCAGGTTTTGGCGTCACCAACATCTAATGATACTAGTCAGAAACACTAGTTCTGTCATTATGAATCACACAGATAATTCGATTAACAACAATGCAACGAACACGACATGATCAACGTTGAAAATCACTCCAAAAAGCTCACCTTGATAACAAAGACAATGTCTGCTGGAACACGACCAGGATGCTGATCACCTTCTTTGGGGAATGTTATCTTTGTTCCACTCTTCCATCCCGGTTTGATATTGATCGTTAATACTTTATCCTCTACTCTGGTGGAGTGACCGTCGGCATTCAGTACTTTCCTGAAAAGAAAAAAACGTCCATCGCATGACTTGGACCAGGAAACTAAGCTTCATCTTGTTACCTCGTAATCTTCATCTTTTTGGTGCAACCATGATAGATATCCTCCAGACTGACTTGTAACTCATGCTGTACAGTAGGATCTTGTTTTGGAGCTGCTAAAAAGGATGCTGATGAGATGTTCTTGCTATCGCAACAAGCTCTTAACTACCTCTCCTATGACCATGAGGCATTCCACCGAATGATGTAAAACCATTCATATCATCCATACCGCCGCTAGCCATATTGAAGAATATATTTTGACCATGTCCTCCACCCATTCCAAATATGCCACTGAACGGATCATCAGTTCCGAAGAATTGTGTGAACATGCGCATTGGATCTCCTTGGAACTATAATGAAAAAAAAGTATTATAATTCCCAAATTCAGACGGTCAAATTCAACAAAAGAAAATGAAAAGTATTATGACCATATTCAGAAGGTCGCTATTCCAGAAAAATTAATTTACAGTAAAAAAAGACTACAACAGAAGAAAGAGATGCCCACCTCGTAATGGAATCCACCTGGTCCACCGCCCATGTCGGGTCCGCCATTCTTAAGACCATCCTCGCCGTATTTGTCATAGATTTCCTTCTTCTTTGGATCAGAGAGAACATCGTAAGCTTCTGCGATCTCCTAAAATGGTTCTACATAACTTTCAAGTCGACAGCAGCAACTTATCTTTCTGCACCTATTCAAAGGCACCGTTCAACCAAAATGAGAGTCAAGAGATTTTGGTTTATAAAATGGCGGGGCTCCCAACCAACCGCCCAAGTCTCGCTGTAAAGAATGGATTCCAAAGCGAGAAAACCGCTTCAGAAAGTAGAAGTGGTCACAGTGGCTCCGCCCCTCAACCTACGGTCTGAAGATATAAAGACTCCAAACTTGGACTTTTAACTAAGCAAAAGTATCATAGATCCTCCTCTCATTATAATAATCAGACTTACGCCCTCCCTGACTGCCCTAAAGTCTCATTTCTCGTGTTTTCGCACCATCCACGTTGATAGGCGGAGCCAGCGTAACCCCTCGTAAATACTAGCGGTTCCTCGCTTTCAATTTCATTTTTTTAGCGGAACTTGGATGAATACAGTTAGGGGCCTCGCTACTATATGCCAACAAAATCTCACCACTCTTCGGGTGGCCGTGATTCTAACCCTATCCTGACCCCTTACACACACATACAATGTCCTGATTTGACGGTAGTGGCGCATTTCCAAATTCAATGCCTCCACAATATTATCATCTCAAAGCCTTCCAAATTCGACCTTGATCGGGTTGGGCGCGGTCCTTGACATGTTGAGCGCGACATGTTTGCACACAAAAGGATTCTCACGATAAAACACGATCAAAACAAAAATGCACGCAATTTCTTTTACAAAGTGCAAAGCATTTTGAAGCATCTGCACTTCAGACTATCGATGAGCAAACTTTGAGAAATGGAGAACGTGGGTAAACATGCACTATAAAAAGCACACAATCGAAACTCGTTTCTCTACAAGACCAGTTTTTGGCAGAAAAGAAAAAAAAATGATTGACGCTGACCTGCCGCTAATGACACATCAGAGATAAGCTAATACATTCTTAGCTCAATGGAAGCCTTGGAAAACGCTTAATCATTAGTAACAATCAGTTGCGGGAGATCGAATTAAGGTCATTGTGATTGATGACGCTTAGCGAAGCGACCAAAACAGTGGATCTTATCAGTTCAAGGCCACGCTAGCAAATATGCTAGCAGTTTGACAAGCAACACCCTACACATTGAAAATACTATGCCACTATAGAAGCACGACGATTTGAATTTATTCTAGTATGGAATACGAGCGTAGACGCTGATTTCGAAGTGGCTGGCGCACTGCTGGAAAAAAATGAATCTCCGCTAGCGCATCCGATTCACCACGTGTTTCTTAAAATAGAGTCTCAACGTTATATTCAATCACTAAAATTCTACTGATTCACGCACAAGAAAGACGAATTGAAATATATAGCAAGAACTATATATATGACTCACAAACGTCACTCAGCGAGAGATAACAAATGTCTACGACCCAATATCGATGATTTACTGCATTTAGTCGTAAAAGTACCCCATCAACAACTAGATCCCAAATTACTTGTAACTCATTGAACGAGTGTGATTTAGCAACCTGAGCGAAAGCTCGTTGGGACAGGAAAATTGGGGACAAAATACAGCTGCTTAGAGCAACACAAACTCTGCCGGAACTTCATTACAAGCATCCCGGATCAAACTTAGGGCGAACACGTGAACACAGTTATTTATCAACGTTTTTTGAAGTGATTCATCCAGTTCCCGAACAAAAGCAGCGGTTGTGAATAGAGTGATTGATGATTAGAATGTCAACTTCAATGAGCTTACTAGACATGACTGCGCTTCGTAAGATCATTTGAACACTACTTGTTTCTGAAGACCTTTGTGGAAAATACATTGTAAAAAAAAGGAAAAGCTCAAATCTTATGGTCACAAGATGCTTACCTTGAATTTGTTCTCTGCTCCAGGCTCCTTGTTTTTGTCTGGATGATATTTGAGCGCCATCTTACGATAGGCTTTCTTGATCTCGTCATCACTCGCACCTTTTGCTACACCGAGAATTTTATAGTAATCTTTGGCCATATTTGCTAGTAGAGTATCTGAAAAAACCATTGAAAATTTTGTATGAAATAGGAAAAACAAGGTGGACCGCACTTGGGAACCACAAGAACCACAAACAAGAGGAGATTCCTCAACTTGATAGAAAGATAATGAGGAACACTTTCGACGAAAGATATGAATGTAGGATTTCAAGTACAATATAACAGAAAAATAATCTGTTAGGTAGAAACGAAAGTTTTGTCGTACAATTTTCAAAATTAACTTCTTGACTCAACTTGCATGCATCCGATTCTATTTGGAGAAAGAAATCATGCGTTTTATATGCATGTAGCATACTTCCCCGTAAGCACACATTGCAGAGAACGAAGCCGTAGAAGGAAATCATTCAAATTTTGATTTTCCTGTGTTTGTTCAAGATAATCTGAAACTTGAGAAAGAAATCGGAGCAGTTAGTATCACAGGTTTGTCGACCTGCCTCTTCTAACTGAGCGAACTGTGCTGATTAAATATCTCTATAAACATGTGATTTTCGAAAAATGCCAAAAAATCTTTGCGTTGTACTACTTGCTCAAAAATCAACCTTTTGAAAAGTACGATCAGCGTGAACACTGCTCACATGAGAAACAGGTTGAAAAATCTATATTACTTAATGCTCCGATTTTTATCGCAAATTTCAGATTACTTTTGACCAAACACAGAAGGCAAAATCTGAGCAATTTTCTTCCAGTTTCCATTTACACAAAGTGTGGTAGTGAAAACTGGCTACATGCAATTTTAAAGGCATAATTTCTTGTTTCAAACAAAACTAAATGCATTCGAAGTGGCTGAGGAATCAAGAAGCTATTTTTTGAAAGCGGTGCTACAAAACTTGAGCTCCAACTCAATATTTTAAGCCTATTTGAATACAAAGGAGTGAAGAAAGAATACTGAGAGATATATATTCAACACATAAATAGTCTATTAAATACTAAATAGCTAATAGAGTCGAAGAAACTCAACAAACTCTGCCGCTAATAGAGCGAGCGCCAGCACATGTGGCGCCGTGTTTTCGCGTGCGCCGCCGACGGCGATCTAGAACCTTCGCGCTCTTTCTCTCTGCTCCTACTACACTATCGCATGTTCGATCTTCCGCTTCCTATAACAAACCAACGAGATTTCGGGCAATTTGCCATTGCTAGACGGCGGGCGCGAATAGTGTCACTTGGGAGTTTGTTGCCAAAATATAATAATGCGTTGCAAAAATTTATTACTGTTTGCAATTCATACCTCAGGATAGCTGTCATTTATTTTGTGAGTAAGAGACTCGAAACTGCTTTGCACATATTATCTAAACAAGCTTGAACTTGTTTTTTCCTGTTTTCAAGTAGCAAATTATTTTAGGCCTGTAAGTTAACAAGTATAAACTTGTTAACAACACGTTCAAGCTTGTTTTGACAACATTTGCAAAGGTTGCGAGGTTCTCAATCATAGAGCAAATGATAGGTTGCTGGGGTTTTTCTATTATTATTTTTTTGAGAAAATCCTTCTAAATAATTGTTGTTAGGTATTTGAGGGCTAAACTTCATGCGCAGAATGATCTACAGATAGCAATAGCGTGTATCTCCATCTGATGTTTTCAATGTCTTTCCAATTTCTGATATCATTGGAATCTCCTGAAAAGGGAATACGCCTTTCAAGCTTTTATTAAGTCTGTGTAATTTTTTGAAAGATTCTCTCTACTTGACAACCTCGTTTTTTAGGGAGCCGGGCTTCCCTCCACATGGCTGCTTTCTTGGATCCTAAGCAAAAGGAACCGTAGATGACAGATAGGTGAGATATTTCGATCAGTCTCAACCTGCTACAATTTATCTCATTTTTTAGCCTTGTTGAAGTGAAGAAGGAAGAAGCTGAACGTCCATCTGGTATCCAAGTGGTCAAACCTTCAAATGGTAGATTATTGGTCATTTGTTTTCTGGTTTGTTGAGAAAAACTTGTTTTTTCATACTATTTTTATAGATCAGTTTGACCATTCGTCATTGGATGTTTCGCTTTCGAAAGATGTTGATTCTGGAATATCTTCGTTGATAGACCCAGATGGTATGTTCCTCCGTCAATTTCGTCAAATTTCCCTTTTATATCAATTACATCAGAGAAACCACTTCCAAATTGCTACATTATTGATCCGGGTAAAGTAATAAGTCGACTGTCGAGTGGTCCCCACATTTCAAAACGTTTGCTACCGTCAGACGTTTATGTGAGGACTTAGGGATCGGTCAGAGTTTGCCAGTGTTGCCGGTGTTGAAAGTGTTGCCGGTGTTGAAAGTGTTGAAAGCGTTGCCGGTGTTGAAAGTGTTGAAAGTGTTGCCAGTGTTGAAAATGTTGAAAGTGTTGCCGGTGTTGAAAGTGTTGAAAGTGTTGCCGGTGTTGAAAGTGTTGAAAGCGTTGCCGGTGTTGAAAGTGTTGAAAGCGTTGCTGGTGTTGAAAGTGTTGAAAGCGTTGCCGGTGTAGTGTTGAATGTGGAAATCATCAGTCTTGCAGTTTCATTCTTAATCGAGCGATCTCACCGACTGGTGAGCACCTTTGAATTGGACATAGATAATGAGAATTGAAGTTGAAATGAGGGGAACTGCTTTTGCATGCAAAAGATTTTCAAACAAATTTTTTGGAAAGTAGGGGACTTGTTCTAGATAGGCAATCTTCCGATTTTGAGACGCTGCTAAGGTTTGAGTAATGCGTGTCAGGTGTCGAATTCGACACTTCTACGACTAGTGAGTATAAAATTTTCCTACGGGAGGGCTTGCAACGTTCTCAAATATTGGAGAGTGCCTATTTCAAACACGCCCTCTACCTTCCAAAAAAGATTCTAGAGGATCTTTCGCATTCTTTCTCATTTCATTTCTCATCCCCATTTCCGTTTCAAACGTATTCACCAGCCGGTGAGATCGCTCGCGAAAGAATGAACTCACTTTCAACACTTTCAACACCGGCAACGCTTTCAACACTTTCAACACCGGCAACACTTTCAACACTTTCAACACCGGCAACACTTTCAACATTTTCAACACTGGCAACACTTTCAACACTTTCAACACTGGCAACACTTTCAACACTTTCAACACTGGCAACACTTTCAACACCGGCAACACTGGCAAACTCTGACCGATCCCTTAGATTTCATAAAGTCTTGCGGATAATAGCAAAATTCATTTTCAGAATTTATTGCGAAAGTACAGTAATGGACACAAAATTCTTCTGTCAGGAACATGGCTAGTGAGGGCTTTCCAGGATAGTCTTGATTTCAAGCAACAAGAAGATGCCTTGAGGAAGTTCCTCCTAGTGCGGGACGGCATTGTGAGTTTTTTTTTTCGAATACCCACTTTTACACTTGGTACTTTGTGCTTTTGATTACATTCTGTGGGCTTTTGTAATCAAGGGTGTATCTATACTTCGATCCGAATGCAATCTCAATCGCTAATCTGCGCGCGCCCTTGACTATCACCTATTCTTTCTTGAATAGAATTCTAGTGGTCGTGGATCCATCATAATAATCCAAACTACATCTTGATCCACAAAGTCTGTGCTCCACCTGTCTCATAGGTTATTTTTGTTTGAGATAAAACTGGAAGATGAAGGCGGATGTGACAAAGATGCCCAAGTGGATGAATCAAAGAGGCAAAGCGGATTTAGAAAACATGTCAAAGTGGAAGATCCGAAGAAAGAGAAGTCGTCCATCTATCGCAAAGTCATCACGACTAAATGTGATTTTTGATTTAGAGCTGCTACTCGAGTTGAAGAAAATCCTGTCAGTGCTGTCCACGTGAAAGAAGAGCCGTCTTGTTTCACAGAAGCAAATGCTGAAGACATTGCAAAGGTATGTTTTCGTTAAAGTTGCGGCTAACAAGCTTCATAGGTTTCGTTTAACATCAACAGGGATATTTTTCATGTTGCTGGTTACTTGTAATTACCCTTGGCCTAAAAATTGTGCAGCCGGCTGCAAGCATTTAGCCGAGTTGCTAAACTACCATTTCATATTGGAACATTCACGCATTATCGAGGCTGTGCCAAGAGTTGCCATGTACTTATAAAAAAGGTTTATGCTTTTCCTCCATGAATCTCTCATGCTTAATAACGATCATTAGTTTATTTGTTATAGTAGGCAGTTTTTGATGAATGCTATTGAAAAAGATAAAAGCATAATAAGGCTTGGGACGTAGCCGATTCCAGCTTGAATGCATCTTTCGTTACAGATGAATAATTCGGGTATCTAAATTTGGTCATAAGCAACAGTCTTTGTATACCAGCTGTGGTAACCTGCCATGTTTTATTAATTCGTTCTTTGGAGCATCTTATCTTCACTCGAAAATCCTGCAATTTTTTTTCATGACTGCTTTTCGATAGGACTTGACAGCGCTTACCCTAATCTTCTTCTGCCAGACTGGAGGTGGAATGTACGCAAATGGGACACTACTGTAGTTATCGGGCACTGGAGCGCAAGCAACATGCATTCCGTTGCCTGAAAATGTCGTGGTTGGACCAAATCACTAGTAATTACCTCAGCTCATATACAGAGGTGCGATGGGGGGAGCCGGGCCCACCGAAAGTGAAGGTGGTCCCAGCTACCACTGGCCGGCCAAAAGTGAAGGTGGTAGTGTCGGACACTCACTTCCCAAAAACGTCGACGGGGGGGGGGGGGGGAGGTGCGAGGGGGTGAGGGCAGAATGGGCGAACAGAGCTATCCTTCTAGGTCGAACTGTGACCCAACGGCCCTCTTTAGGGCCACAGATACGATGAATATTAAAAATATTTATAAATTTTATTTATAAAAATTTAAAATAGACGTATTTAGTAAATGGTGTATTTGGAAGTAAAAGTTTGTTGGACTGTACGGATTTTATTAAGTAAATGTCATAACATACTGCGAAGGAAGTAGGTCGATTTAGGCAGTAACGGCCGAGAACCAGAATTTTGAATATTTAAATAGTGAAAAATCATGCGAAATTTCCACTGTTATAAATCTGTTGTTTGAAGATGTCAGCAGTTGCGACTTCATAGGTTTTAAAAAGTAAATGGTGCTCTTTCAGCTAGTAAAAAAATCGAGTGGATTTGAGAGATAATCGTTGAAAACCAGAGTTCTAAAAATTTACGCCATTTTTGCGTGTTTTTTGACAGTTGACAGTTAAACTCATATAAATCTTGAATGTGAAAGTGTGTGATGCTGCGACTTCATAGCTTTTATAGAGTAAGGTTTGCCTTATTAGGATATATCTTAGCCGTTCCGATTCACTGAAAAGTGCCGAGATCCAGAGTCTTGAAAAAGCAGGTAAAAAAGCGCTTGTTGAAATTCAACAGCTCACAACTTCTTCAGAACTGCATGAATCATGTTGCGACTTTATTGGTTAGATTCTTCTCATCAAGAGCTTTCAGATGATATATAACATGTGGGGGTTTAGAGCTTCCTACGAATTATGCCCGTGGGGGGAGCCTTTTCATACCAAAGTCTCCCCCTCCAATACATTAAAGTGGGCTAGGGGGAGACTTTGGTATGGAAAGGCTCCCCCCACGGGCATAATTCGTAGGAGGCTCTAAACCCCCACATGTTATATATCATTTGAAAGCTCTTGATGGGAAGAATCTAACCAATTAAGTCGCAACATGATTCATGCAGTTCTGAAGAAGTTGTGAGCTGTTGAATTTCAACAAGCGCTTTTTTACCTGCTTTTTCAAGACTCTGGATCTCGGCACTTTTCAGTGAATCGGAACGGCTAAGATATATCCTAATAAGGCAAACCTTACTCTATAAAAGCTATGAAGTCGCAGCATCACACACTTTCACATTCAAGATTTATATGAGTTTAACTGTCAACTGTCAAAAAACACGCAAAAATGGCGTAAATTTTTAGAACTCTGGTTTTCAACGATTATCTCTCAAATCCACTCGATTTTTTTACTAGCTGAAAGAGCACCATTTACTCTTTAAAACCTATGAAGTCGCAACTGCTGACATCTTCAAACAACAGATTTATAACAGTGGAAATTTCGCATGATTTTTCACTATTTAAATATTCAAAATTCTGGTTCTCGGCCGTCTGCCTAGATCGACCTACTTCCTTCGCAGTATGTTATGACAAAATTTACTTAATAAAATCCGTACAGTTTCGCTATTACTTCCAAATACACCATTTACTGAGCACGTTTATTTTAAATATATATGCCGCCGTATACATAAATATATGCTTTCAATAATCTTTTTTGCGTTTGTTTTGTTTATCTTCCTTCTTTGCCGTCCAGCGAAAAATTTTTTATTCCAAAAGTGAAGGTGGTCACCCTGTACCAGCTCAAAAGTGAAGGTAGGGGGAGAATCGGCTCCCACTATCGCACCTCTGCATATACCTTGTACTACCGTAACCCTGCCACTAGACGCAATGTTTAAAAATTCTATTTAGCTGGAGTTCTTACATGAGCCAAGCCAACTGTTCAGACGGCAGGCTACATGATTTATTTTTAGCCGAAAAACTCAGATTTCAGCTCTGGTCCAATATCGTACATCTTTCAGCGGACCATTCAGCGTTCTGGACTACGGTACTGGGCGAGAGTTCAAAACTGAGTTTTTCGGCTAAAAAGGAAACATGAGCTGTCGCTTGGACAATTCTGGTTATGGTAACATGCTGCCAGCAAATCTCTTGAGAATGCGCTTTTTCGGCAGTGTTGTACTTTGCAGTATCGAGCTGGCAGCATCAAACCCAAATTAATGCTGAGCTTCTCATTACCTGCCCATAAACAGCTAACTTCCCATTTCAAAGCATCTTTATCTAGTAGAAATCCTGTGAATAATTCATCGTGACATAAATACTCTTTTTGTTCGTGAGTAACTATTAATGACGAGTTTCTGCAAGTCAGCTGTCAAGTCTTATTGCCAGGCCTACGGATCACCTACCTTCTGAATGGTTTTCCCCCGTTAAGTGCTAACAATTCAGCTACTTTTCGTTTGTTGTGCCAAGATCGGCTAAAATCTAGTAATTGTTGTTTTAATAGGAACCAAAGCCTCTCTTACCCTGGTT